GAGCGCGCGCGGAGCCCTGGGTCGTCGCTATTGTATCCCGACACCAGCTCTATGCTAGTGGAACGCGGGCCCGGATGGAACACTGGGGGAGCCGGAGAGGGGTCTGGTCGCCAGGGTTTGGAGACAGTAAAGTAGGTCGGGGGCTTGATGGGGGTGGGAGTGATGGTGTTTTGAATGGGGTGGAAGGCAGAGGGGCGCGCACGCGCGCTCCCGGCTACCCGGTTGTTATGGGTGAAGGCGGAGGCCTGGGCGCATGCGTAGGTCTGGGCGGGGCCGCGGCGCGCACGCAGGCTCTGGCGGAGGCTACGTAGGGCACGTACAGTGAGTGGGGCTGGAGGAGAGGCAGAAGTCTGACTAGGTGTGTTCCTGGCTCTGTATTTTTAAAGTTCAGCGGGGGACGAAGCGGGCGGGCACGGAATCTGGGGATACTTAGCCGCGTTTTATAAACATACACACTTAGAAAAGGCAGCTGTCCAGGTTCCTCTCCTCAACTCGCGCAACAAAACAAACTTCCCTCAAGACGCAGGACTTGTGATTATAAATTTTATTAAGATTTTGGAGGGAGGGGGCACCATCAACATTCCCTCCTCACGTTAAAAAAAAAAAAAAATGTACAAAAGCTACATATAAAACATGAGATCATACAACCAAACTTTCCCGACTCAGAGCCAAATTCTGCAAGGGAAAAAAAAGATTTCAGTGAACTGGGGAGGCTGGGAAAGGAGGGGTCGGGAAGGGTCTCCTGAAAGTCGGGCAGGGGGGTGCTCACCTTTTTAAGTCTCCGTTCTCGCGATGCCTGAGAGTCCGTTTCCGAGTAAGGGGGAGGCTCTGGTTGGTAGTAGGCTTCATCTTCCTCTGGCTCCTTGTAGGGTCTCCTTTTCTCCTCTGCCCCCTTTCTCCTCAAGGCCTCCTCCAGCAGCCCCCTATCATAATAAGGCTTCCCAGACCTGGGGCCATCCTCTTGAGGGTTCCGGGAGCGGGGACTGTAGGGTCTGGAGTCACCAGGGGGGCGATGCCCAGACTTGAACTCATCATAGTGGGCATCCCAGGAGCGTGTAGAATCATCTTGATAGTAGAGATCGTCCCGGCTGCGGCTTCTAGGGGGAGCATAGGCCCGGCCCTTCCTCCCACTACTTGGGGGAGACCTCCTTGATTCTGTGGACCCCTGCCCACTGAGATCATCCAGAGCATCCACAGAGTGGGCTCGGGGCCGTCCAACTCCCCAGCCACTCATTGGCTGTTCTGCTGGGGGGTCCTGCTCCCACCTCCTAGGACTTCGGGGGGACCGTCGACCCCATTCCTTATCCCGGACAGGGGCGTAGGCAGGGCCCCTAAAAGGCTGGGATCGAGAGTCGTCCTCATGGAGGGAGGTGATCTCACTCAGGGCTGTGGAGAAGGAGGGTGGGAGGAGGTCTGGATTTCATGTCAGGAGCCCTGGGACCCAGTAATGTCAGTCATATGACAGACACTCTCGAGGGGCTCTTGGTTTCTCATCTAGTAAGTAATATACAGGAGCCTGTCCACCTCTCCTGTGGCATTGGAAGGGAGGGACATGGCCTAAGAGCCCCACCTAGGAGGAAGCCCCCATTTGCTTTTCCTCAGTAAAGCTACACTGTAAGTTGTAGCTCTTTGGTGAACCAATGGACTGTGGCCGTGGCAGAAATAGCACAACCTATCAGGAAATTAGTGGGGCCTCATATTGGAGGATTAGTGGCCTTAGGATATGGAGTGGAGTCTTGGGAGGGGGAACTGGAGTCCTGGCCATTGCCCCAGCCTTAATGCTGAGGCATCTGGGACGTGGGATTCCCCCTCCCACCTCAGACCGGAAGGTTCCTGCTCACCACGCTCAACACGGCCACTGGGGGGAGGACGTCGCAGAGGGTCAAAGTTGGCCAACTCTTTCTCCATGTAGTACAGGACCCGCATAGAGTCATCCTGCTGATTAGCCTGAATCCGGTAGCCACTTCGGACATCTAGGGGCAGGAGGGAACGGTGGCAGACAGGCGTCAGTTTGGGAGCATGAAAGCTGACCCAGCCCCCACCCCCCACAGGCATGTGCTCACCGGAGGTCACAGTGCTGTCTGTGTCTCGAAGCAAGGGCATCTGGGAGCTGTGGCCACCAACTGGGGGAGACTAGCTGTCAGTGACTGCCCACTAGGAGCCCCTTCCCCCGCCTTTAGCCCCCCTCCAATACATTGTTCCTTATATTCCAGATCACATTAGGGGCCCAAATTGCACCATAGAATCAGCACTGGACCACAAGGTTGGTTTGAACTGCAAGGTCAGTGGTTCAAACTCACCAGCTGCTCCTCAGAAACCCAAGACAGGGTTACTATGAGTCAAAATATCGACTTGAAGGCACTAACACCCCTTGCCCCCCAGCTGCTCCTGGCTCATCCAGGCCTTACCTGAGCTATTCCTGTCGAAATCTCCAGGATAACCATTGTAAACAGGGCCCATGGGGATCATGGCTGGTGGTGGCGGGGACTTGCCAGGGGAGAGGTTGGCATAGGTGCTGGAGGCATAGATGCTTGGGACTCCTGAGGTGGCTGCTTTGCCTGCAGCATACACTAGGGCAGAGACAGCCAGCATGAGAACTCAGGTGGCCAGGAACCACGCTACTCACCACTGCACTGGATTGGGGTTCTAGTATCTTCCTACGCAATCCTCATTCCATTTCTTGAAACAGGATCTTGAGGTGAGGGGACCTCAACCTGACTGAGTCCCCACCTCTTCTGTATGTTTTGTTTGGATTCTTGTGGTAGTTTGCCAACATTTGATGATCAAATCAAAAGGCTTTATATAAAATTCCACCTCTGGTTACCCTGTCAGAAGATAGAACACTCTGAGCCCATGTTATACAGGGTGAAGCTAGGCAGCATCTGCACTTTTAACCAAGGCCTGTACGCTGGGTCCGCTGTTCCCACAGGCCAGTGTCCCAAATCCCCAGCTCTAGAAAAAGGAATCACCTGCCTACTCCCTTTTCATGCCTGTAGGGGCCTTGACCCAGATGCACAGGAAATGAATCTAAAGCAAGAGTGTAGGGGACTCAGGAATTGACTTTCCTCCGCCCTGGCATCAAAACATGTCTTGTTAGTATTTCCAACCTTTGTCCCACACCCACCTCCACCTCCACCTCCTTACCCCTCCCTACCGGCTCCAGGAGGGAGAGCTCAAAGTCAAAGCCTTCCTCCCCCATGGCAAGAAACTTGTGTTCTGGTGGCTGCTCTTGCAGCAAAATCACTGGGCTCTAGGTCAGTCAGCCCCTTCTAGGATTCCAACAGGAAAATGGGGTGGGAGATGGGCTCAGAGAGGTCCCTTTATCTGTTCAGAAGCAAATGCTCAGCCCCACCTAGGAGGTGCCCTTATTCGCCTCTCCTTGGCAAGGAAGTGGTAATGTTGGGGAACCACTTTGCCCACCGATTTTATTAGATCTGGTGAACTCACATGTAGGCAGGGGCTTTCAAAAATTTGTCAAAGAATGAAATGAAAACATGTTGGAATTTCTTCATGAACTTTTTGAAGCCCCCTGTGTAGCACTTTGTGTGAGGTCTGGCCTGTGTCGGATGTCCCAAACCCTCTAGCGGTTAGAACATCACTGCTGTCTATGTCAGGAATGACTGAGGGCCAGGGCTTTGCCAGAAGTTGATAGAGGAAACAGACCTGGAGAGGGGAGGTCACTAACTTGGCTTCCAAGCAGGTAAGACGTCAAGCTGGGCCTCAAAGTTAAACTGCCCCTGCTTGCAACAACCACCTGTTATTTGACTGTGGATGAGCATCACTTGTGCACTGAGATGCTGGTATGCCCAGGCACGTGGAAGGAATCCAAGGAACTGGGCCAAGCTGTGGTCGAGGAGGAGCAATGGGGTAGCAGTAGGAGGGAAATGTCACTTTTTTTTTCCTTCTGTTTTATTTCTTTCCCTTCTTCATCCTTGGTCCAACTTCCATTTCCAAACATCCACGGATGCCTCCTTTGACATACGACATATTTCCTTAAACATAGTTATGTTGCTACCATGTGCCGACGAGTCAGTTCCAACTCACAGAACCAGGACAGAGTAGAACTGCCTCGTAGGTTTCCCCAGCCGTTCCTGGTGTGGTGCTGTGAGTTAATGCGCTGGACTGCAAGGTTGGTTTCAACTGCAAGGTCAGCGGTTCAAGCTTACCAGCTGCTCCTTGAAACCTCATACAAGGTCACTATAAGTCAGAACCAACTCGGTACTCAACAACAGTCTTTACAGGACTAGATTGCTGGGTCTTTTTACCTTCGGAGTATTTGGTGGGTTTGAACCACTGACCTCCCAGCCAAGTACTTAACCACTGCACCACCAGGGCTCCTTAACCGTAGCGCTCTTGTTAGGTGCCGTAGAGTTGGTTTTGACTCATGTGACCATATCATGTATAACAGAATGAAACACTGCCCAGTTCTGCACAAGTCTCATAAAGGTGTCAGTCCATCTGTTGAGGGTCTTCCTCTTTTTTGATGACCCTCTAGGAAGCATGATGTCCTTCTCCATGGACTGGTACCTCCTGATACCAGTCTATCCATCCTCATTCTGAGGAACATTCTGACTCTACTTCTTCCTTCACAAATGTGTTTATTCTTCTGGCAGTCTGTGATTTGCTTAATATTGTTTGCCAACAATGATTCAAAGGCATGGATTCTTCAGTCTTCCCTACTGTGCAGCTCTCACATGCATATAAAGCAACTGAAAGTACCACGGCTTGAATCAGGTGCACCTTGGTTCTCAAAGTAGCATCTACGGTGGTTAAGACTTTAAAGAGATCTTTGGCAGATGTGCCCAATGCCATATGTCATTAGTCATTTGATTTCTTGACAGTTGATTCCATGGGTGTTTACTGTGGATCTCAGTAAAATGAAATCCTTGACAACTTCAGCACTTTAAGCTCTGTTTATTATGATGTTGCTTTTTGGTCCCATGGTATAGATTTTTGTTTCCTCCTGGTCTGGTGCTGTAGGATAAATACTGGGCTGCTAACCATAAGGTTGGCCATTCAAACCCACCAGCCACTCCTTGGGAACCCTATACAGGGTCTCTAGGAGTCGGAACTGACTCAACGGCACTGTTGAGCAACAATGTTGAAGAAGGCGTCCTGGTGGTACAGCAGTTAAAGCGTGGCTGCTAGGCCAAAGCTCCAAGCAGTTCCATGGGAGAAAGATGCAGCAGTCTGTTTCTGTAAAGATTTACACCCTTGAGATCCGATGGGGCAGGTCTACTGTGTCCTGTGGAGTCACTGAGTGTCGACCCAATGGCAGAGGGTCTGGTACTGGATTTTCATGTTGAGGTGTAATCCGTATCAGTGTGGCGCTGTAGGATCAGCACTGGACCGCTAACCACAAGGTCGGCAATTTTAACTCGCCAGCTGCTCCTCAGAAACCCTATACAGGGCGGCTATGAATTGGAATGGACGTGACAAAACTAGATAACAAAAACAATTCCGGCTGAAAGCTCTAGTCTTTGATCTTCATTAGTAAGTGGTTCAACTTCTGAAGTCTATTTTCAGCCAGGGGCACTGCAGGATCAACACTGGTCTGCTAACCACAAGATCGGCAGTTCAAACCCACCAGCAACTCCTTGGAACCCCTATGCAGGGTTGCTGAGTCAGAACAAATAGGAGGGTATTTAACAACAAGGTGTTGTCATAGCCACGGGGTAGAAGGCAGTGCTTGCCTCAAAGTGCTTTTGTGTTTTAATTTTACTTCAGTTTGGCAACACTAAATTCTGTTTCACTTAAAGATTTTTCAGAGAGAGCTTTACTTGTCTTCATTGATTACTGTTGTACAAGGGGGTGGGGGCTTCAAAAACTTCATGGAAAATTGCATTTTCCACAAACTTTGGAAGCCACCTTGTATTATTTGAATTTTTTTTTTTAACCACAAGCATGGATACTATCCAAAGAGGGGTTAAAAAAAAAAATCAAAATAAATGAAAATGAAAAGCTGAAGTAAACAAACGATCGCCTTGACCTCCATTCTTCCAAACTGCTAAGCTGCTCGCCTCCAGATCCGAGGCAGGGTCCTGGGCAGGCCGGCAGAGGGCCAGCTCCTCCTTCAGGTCCCAGGAGGTGACATGGGGGTAGTCAACTGAGGGGCACTTACAGGCTTCTGGACAGCAGCACTTGTCCGGGCAGCAGGGGCACCTGACGTAACAGCAGCAGGTGTGGGGACAGCACTGACACCAGCAGATGGCCAGGAGGAGGAAGAAGAGGATGGTGGCCAGGCAGACCACGACCACAAACAGCCAGTCTGCAGGGGGAGGAGAAAAGGCCCTCAGCCCGAGGCCTGTGAGGAAGTGGGGAAGGCCACAAGCCCTGTGGGGCGGTGCAGAAGAGCGGGACGGGGCACAACTGGCAAAGGTGGTTGGGAAAGCTGCAGCCCTCACTGGGTTCTCCATGGCAGAGATGGGGGTACAGCAGCAGCAGCAGAAACAGTAGAATACCCAACCCTCCAAAGATTAGGGAGCTCCCCTGGGCTCATGCCAATGGGGCAGAAAACAAGGTAGTCTGGACAGAGAGAGTGCCAGCTGCCTATACCCAAGCCCCCAGGAGAGCACCGAGGTACCAGTCACAGGAGCCCCTGCCTGCCCCCAGGCTCCTCATCAGCCAGCCCACAGGCCACTAGATGCTACGGATTGGGTGGAGTTAGTGGGGGGCCCATTGCGAGCAGTGTTTAGGATGGGGAAGGATACCAGAGACAGAAACATTAAGTGGTGGGTGGGGAGACTCCCAAAGAAGTCTCACTCAGGTTTCCACCCCGCCCCCCATACCTTCCATGGGCCCCGCCCGAAAATCAGGTAAAAGCTCAGCCACCCCTGAGGTCCTACCTGGAGGGACAAAAGAGAAACAGGAGATTATGCTGGCGCGAGCCAGCCCAGTCCACCCTGCCCCGGACCCAGCTCTACGATGACCAGGTGGTGAGAGGTGGCTTTCACTGAAGTGCATGAGAGGAGGTGGTTTACAGGGTCCTAGCAGTAGCTCCTGAACTCCAGCTTTGTCCAGATGGAATCCATTACGTAATTTACCTCCTTCTCCCTCAACAAGGAAGCCTGCTGCCCATAAAGGCTTAAACCCACATTCCATGGTGTTCTGAAGTTCTGACCTCAGTTTGGACCCTCAGCAGAAACTAAAGGCCTTCAATGAGGTGGACGGACTCAGTGGCAACCACAAAGGGCTCAAACAACAATTGTGAGGATGGCTCAGAAGAGGGCGGTGTTGTGTTGTGTTGCACATACGGGGCACTATGAGCCAGAACCAATCAGAAGGCACCTAACAACAACATCTACGGGTCCTAACACCCCTAAGGGCTCCATCCCCACGATACGGATGGTTCTACACGTGGCCGGCGAAGGCTTGGGCCAACTCTCCTTTTAGGGACCCAAGAAAATGCTAGTTTTCTTTTTTTAAATTAGAAAAAAATACTAAGAGTGAGGCTTCAAAACGTTCATGGAAAATTTCCATGGTTTTTAAATTCCATTTCCACAAACTTTTTGAATCCCCCTCATAAAATAAAGCATTGTCCTTAAAGCAATTCAATCTTAAGATATGCTTTTGAATGTTTTCTTTATGGAGCAAGGGACCCCCCCCCCCAAAGCAAAAGTACCTACAGCTCATCAGCATCTGAATGCAGCCCTGCTTCTGAGACCCACGAGGGCTCCACCGAGTTCACGCACTTCATCATATGTTACTTGCACACGTTTTATGATCCAATTTGCCCTCAGCTTCCAAGGGAGCTCTGTGCCCCCACAAGCATTTGACCACCCAGGGCACACACACAGCTGAACTCTACATCAAAACAGCCCCATCCAGAGTTCACGCACTCCCTACCACATGCCTGCCCCTTCCAGGGCGCTCTAGAATACAGATCAGCAGTTCTCAAAGTATGGTCCCGTCCTCAAGGCCAAAACTACAAGTGACACTTCAAAAACATGGTGGGAAAAAATGGAATCAAAAGACAACGGGACGTCTGCATGAACTTTTGGATGCCCCGTCGTATTTTCATAATGATCCTAAGATGCTAATTGCCTTTCTCGCTCTACTCTCATGAGTGTACAGGGGAGTTTCCCAGAGGCTACATGACGTATGTGACATCATGGCTCTGAAGGCTAGCAGACTTGTGCTTTCAAACTTGGCCCAATTGTCATATCTGATTTGATAAAGGCAGAGAGAGATCACACAGGACCAAAATCTCTGAGGTGCTCCATCGTTTTTTAGCGTGTCAACGGGTCCTGAGCAGGACTGAAGTTTGAGAACGGCTGATGTTGGCTGTGCATTTTACCAAAGGACACTCAGACGTTGCCTGGGTCCCCGGTACACACGCCCGGTGGGGTCCCGTGACATGTGCTCCTTCACCGCGCATGCAGTGTTGGTAGCATGCCTGCCGTCCAACACTCCGACATATAGCCCGAGTTAAACAAGACTATATGACTATATGTGTTAGCCCGCGATAGTAAGCGCCAGGGATGGGAGTCCTGGGCAGGCCAGGGGCCACTGGCTGACTCCCCACCCTGTCTCTGGACATCCCAAGACACCTCCTCTGAGGGAAGCAGTCATTTGTACAACACACAGTGCCACCCCAACAAGGCAGAGGAAAAGTGCTTGGGATGGTTCTACACGGGGTTGTGGCAGGGGGTCCCGGGGTCCTTTGTGGCCCAGCCACCTCTCAGTGATCCACCTACTCCCTTCCTCACACCCTACCAATTAAAATGGGACTAAGTCCCCAATTGTCTCCATTCCGAGTTTAGCTTTGGCTGATGGGAAATGGTGAGAGAGGACCCTACCTGGGGTACAGGACACAGGTAAACCCAAGTGACTGGTGGTGTCTTGAGGGAGGAAAACAGACCCACAAGAGCCCAGAGAGCAAGCAGGGATGTGGAGGGCAGACGCAGAAGCAGGCAGAAGCAGCAGCCCTGCTCCATCTTCCCCCTCTCCCTCCCGAGCCCCCCGCCCCCAGGATGCAGCCCCCACACTCACCCAGGACAATGAGCTCTGCGTAGGCCTCATTATTCCCTTTGAGGTCCTGTGCCGAGACCACGGAGCAGTAATACACACCACTGTCTCCCCAAGCCGTCTGGTCAAAAGTCAGGTCAGCGTCTGGGCCAGAAGGAGACAGTGTGAGGGTACCTAGGGAGAAGGGAATACCCAGCCCAGCAGGGCCACCTCCTGCCACCCAGAAACGGGGCAGGGAGCCGGCCTGCCAAGGTAGGTACTGTCCTAAACACTTCAAAGGAGCACTCAGCTGCTAACCAAAAAAGCTTTGATTTGAACCCACCAGCAGCTCTGCGGGAAAAAGATGTGGCAGTCTGCTTTGGAAACCCTACTGGGCAGTTCTAGCCTGTCCTATGGGATGGCTAAGAATTGGACGTGGTTAGGCAGCAGGTTCTGCAAGTCTGTGAGGTGGATCCTGTTATCACCCTGGTTTTATCCCTGAGAAAATAAGTCTAGAAAAGTTAAAAATCCACCCTGACTGTGTGGACAGTTCACCAAGAGAGGAGCGGAACAATCCAACTCCAGAGCCAGCCATCCACAACAGTCTCACCATCGCCGACCTGAACCCCCCCAGAGCCCACTACTGCTGATCCAAGGGGGTGGATCCAGGGTAAGGCCCAGAGATAAATAGGCCAGATTATAGGAATCAAGAGCCATCCTGACATCAAGAGAAAGTGGGTGTGTATGTGTTCTTGGGAGGTCCCTTGTCTGTCCACCCACCTGTCAGTCCCCACATTCCAGGTCAGATCCAGGGCTTGGAGACGCTTTGGTCTCTAGCAGCCTGGGGCAAGGAGCCTGTTAATTGTGCAGTAATTAAAGCCTCAGTGCATCCTGTGGCCTCTTGACTCCTCAGGCTCTCATTAGTTAAATGCTCTCAGATACTCACCTGTGTGGGGCAGGATGGGACCTAGTGGGCAACTCTGCCTTAGGCTCATGGGAGATACCAGTAGGTTAGAGATGAGCACCCCAGCCGGGAAATTCCCACAGCCTCATAGCCACTTCTTCCTAGACCTGCCTACCACCTTGTCCCATGTACCTGCTGCCACCCTTCTGGAGAAAATGTGTGTGTGCCCTAACCACAACACCACAGTATCTGTTGAAGGGCCCAACCAGGCTCATCTCCACAGAAGAATCTTCCTTCCAACAACGCCCACTTAACAAGTTTCCAAATACCTTGCCCATGCTTACAAGGCAGGATCTGACCACTGCTGACCGCGTCAGCCTCTTCCTCACCCCTCCCCTTCACTATTGTCCAGTATGTTGGGTTCAGACCCACTTGCCTTGTGTATCTGCTGTTCCCTCTGCCCAGCGCTTTCCCAGACTGTTCCTAAGTGGTTTCCACTCTCATTACCCAAGCCTCGGCTCAGAGACGTGTTCCCTGGTCATCTGAGTTCCCGCAGCTCCAGCGCCTGACTGCTGTACTGCATTTCCACCTCCCACATTAGGATGGAGGCTGCATGCAAGCCAAACCAGGTGTGTTTCCATCACTGCTGAGTCTCCAGTGCTGGGGAGACGGGCCTGAGAATAAAGCCCTTCCCTCCTCTTGCTGGCCTGCTTTAGCCTTTGTTATTGGTTCCAGCTTTCTGGGCACATGGCTATGTTCAAATATGTTCATTCATTCAACAAGTAATTCTTGAGTGCCTATCATGCTTACTGGTCCAAATGTTTAAATGCTCAATTTATTAACTGAAAGGTTGGTGGTTCAAACCCACCCAGAGGTACCTTGGAAGAAAGTCCTGGTGATTTGCTTCTGAAAGGTCATAGCCTTGAAAACCCTGTGGAGTACAGTTTTACTCTGCAACGCATGAGTTCACCATGAGCCGGAATCCAACCAACAGCGGCAAGTTTACTATGTTCTTACCAGCATTTGAGGCATCCAGCATACCAAAAAGCAATAGCTCGCAAAGTGTGGTCTGTGAATTCTGGGCATCCCTCAGACTCTTTTCAAGAGATCCCTAAGGTCAGATTGTAACCATGGCAATAAAACGCTATACAATAGGATGAATGTAAAACTAATGTTCTCCCATGTAAACTATCACATAATTTCACAATAAAACATTTAGAGAGAGAGAGAGAGAGAGAGAGATCCCTAAGGTCAAAGTTATTTTTGTAATACTATGACATCATTGCCTAACTCATTCTATAAAGTCAATATTACCTTGAAACCAACACCATACATATAAAAATGAAACAAGATCCATGCCTCACACCATATGCAAAAACAAACTCAAAATAGATTGTTGTTGCTGTTAAGTGCCATCGAGTCGGTTTCGACCCACAGTGACCCTGTATAGGGTTTCCGAGGAACAGCTGGTGAGCTTGAACCGCCAACCTTGTAGTTCACACTGACTTTGCAGTCCAGCACATTAACTCACAACGACATACCAGGGCTCCTCAAAATGAATTAAGGACCCAAATGTGAAAACTAAAATCACAAAATCCTTAGAAGAAAACCTAATAGTAAAATATTGGAATGAGCTTTTTAACAATGGATTATCAGATATAATAACAGAAATATGAAAAGCAAAAGACAAAATAGGTAAAGGGGACCTCATAAAAAAATTAAATGCCTTTGTTCATTAAAAGACTTCACTAGGAAAGTGAAAAGATAATTTATTGACCAGGAGAGCATCTTTGGAAACCATATATCCAATAAGAATCTAAAAGTCAAGATACATGCACCTGTGTTACAGCACTATTCATAACAGACAAGACAGAAACAACCTGAATGTTCATCATCAGTGGATGAATGGAGAAAATGAGGTCCATACATACAATAGATACATACAATGGATGATTACTCAACCAGAAAGAGAAATGAAGTCCTGAGAAACGCTACAACATGCATGGAACTTGAGAACGTTACGCTGAGTAAAATGAGTCAATCACAAAAGGATAAGTATTATATGAACATCCCTTAACATAAAAAAATCTAAGTAAGCAAATGTATGGAATCCTGGTGTGGTGCTGTGGGTTAATGTGCTGGACTGCAAGCAAAGTCAGTGCGAACTGCAAGGTCAGCGATTCAAGCTCACCAGTCACTCCTCAGAAACCCTATACAGGGTAGCTATGGGTTGGAAATGACTTCACAGAACTTAACAACAAAAAAGCAAATGTATAGAGACTAAAGTTAATTAGTGGCTACAAGGATGGGAAGGAGGAGAAAGGGGCAATTATTGCTTATGAAGCAGAGTTTCTGTTCATCATGATGGAAAAATTGCACTGATTAAGGGTAACAGATACACTACCAATTGATGCAGAATGATGCCTCTAAACTGTACACCTGTAATAAATTCAATTGACAGATGCAGTGTGATGTCTATCATGTTTACAAAAAGGGGGTTGTCGCTGTTAAGGCTGCATATGTACAACAAAACATCTCATGAGATTTGGTTTATTAGTGTGAGGGTTTAGGGTCATGGTTTCATGGGATATCCCAGTTCACAGACCTAGCATCGTATTTTTAGGGAGTCTGTTTTACCTGCTAGTTCACTGTGTAGTGCCTGAGGTCTTAAAGACTCATAAGCAGCCATGCAAGGTACAACCATTGGTCTCTCTTTGTCTGGAGTCGGAAAGGAAGAATGGTCAGAAATAGGAGTAAGAAATGGAATAGGTGTTTGATGGTCTCTACAAGCTGCTTCCTTGGCTATGAGACCAGAAGAAATGGATGGTGCTCAGTTATGACGACTAGTTTTGATCAAAGATTCCAAAGAACCCTGATCAAAAGGTGGGGAAAATATAGAAGAGAATTTCAATTCTCATGGAATCCAGACTTCTGGAAGACTGAATGAACACCTCACACTACTACTTAAAGATAATCTTTAACCACAAAACCATAAACCAAAAAATATCTCCTGAAGTCGTCTTCACACCAGTCTAGCTTAACTAACAAAGCCAGGAGTATTGGGCTAATTTCAAGAACTTACTGTATAGAATCAAATCATTAACGGCAGCTCTAAAGGTTAGACAGAAAGCGCCGAGGGAAGCGAGTTTAATGTCAGTAGGAAAGGAACATTCTGGAAAAGAAAAGTGGGGTGACTGGCTGCACAATTCGAAGACTGTATCAAAGCCACCATGTTAACTAATACATGGAAGACAAAGGAAACTGCTGGTGAAGCAGACCCTATTTGAGTTGAAAAGAAACTAAGTGACTTAAAGAATGAATGCAGGTCTTGCTGTGCATCTTTTCAACAAGGAAGCCCTAAGACCACAAAAAGGAGCTCTGGTAGCGTAGTGGTTACGAATCGGGCTGCGAACCGTAAGGTCAGCAGTTCGAAACTACCAGCTGTTCTGCGGAAGAAAGATGAGGCTTTCTGCTCCCATAAAGATTTACAGGCTTGGAAACCCTGTGCAGGGTCGCTATGGGTCAGAACCGACTCCACGGCACATAACAACAACAAGACCAAAAAGTTTCAGAACCATTGCTATAGAAATCAAACCAAACTTGACTGATTCTAAGTCATAGAAACCCTATAGGAGAGTAGAACTGCCCGGTGGGTGGGTTTCTGAGGCTGTAAATCTTTAGGAGAGCAGACTACTGCATGGATTTGGGTTTGCAGCCCAGCTCATTTTAACCATTGTACCACCAAGGCTCCGTGGCTATAGAGAAGAGACATAAATCCTTGCCCCTATAGAGCGTAGATCCTAACTGGGAAAGAAACAGACTAATAAAAAATTAAAATGCATCACCTATCAGATGGCGATAAACAAAGGACGGGAATGTCAGCGGTGAAGTGGGGGTTGTGAGTCTGAATGAGGTGACCAGGGCAGGGCTCCAGATAAGGTCCCCTTCAGAACAGACATGAAGGACTAGAGGACACAGTCCCCTTCCACATCGGTTGTTTTTGTTGTTAAGTGCCGTCGAGTTGGTTCCGACTCATAGCAATCCTGTATAGGGTTTCCGAGGTGGATGGTTAGCAGCAGTCCAGGGCTGCTCTTACAGCACCACCCAGCACCTAGACATCTCCTACTGAGCACTCTTGCCATGGGCTCAGTACACAGCCCTGTGTAGGTGTTCTTTCACTGAATCCTCAGATAACCTAGTACTAGATTCTCTTCAATCCTCCATGTTCTCCCAAATGCCGGTAGCCCGTTGTTTTTCACATGCATCATTAAATCAGACTCTGACCCCACCACTCCAAATGCAGAACCCAAGACCTAGTGGTCTTTACTTGAAGCTGAAGAGGTGGGCAGGAAGCCCTCTGCCACATCAAAAGACTAGAGGCCAGGGGTTAAACTCTTGGGCTCCTGTGGAGCTGATCTGGGCCCTTTGTGCGTTTTGCTTGGCCCGAATGATGTTTTCAAAACCCATGAAAATGTGACTTTCCGGCTTCTTTTGAGAAACCCTAAGGCCTAGGCTCACCTCCTTCCTGCAAGGCGCACCCTGTTCCCGGTCCCCCGTCTGACCCTGAGATTACTCAGCTGGACTCAGCTCAAATATTTTAAGAATGGACACTGGGCCTCCTCCACATCTCTGGTTCCATATCTGTCCACAGCAGAGGTGGCCCTTTTGATCTCAGCGGTCCCATGGGACTCCCTGCCCAGTGCTGATCAGAGTTGGGGATACATGGGTCCCACACAGTCCAAAGAGGCCCCCCCCACATCACACACAGCAGAGAGGAATGGAAACAGGAGGAGAAGGCCTCCTAAGCTGAGGGACACTTAGAGTGAGCAACTGTTCTGGTTTGCCTGGGACTGAAAGGCATCCTGGGATACTGAACTCTCACTTTTAAAACCGGGCAGTTGGTCACCCTAGGGTCACCAGGGAGGAAGTCTACTTCTCCCCATCCTCAAAGCTGAAATGGAGGAACCTCCCATGGCTACTGGGTTTCCTGAAGGGATATAGACACAATGGTTGATTACAGATCACAGTTGAGGTCCAACACGGGCCAAGTCAAGAGAGCCAAGCCAGGGAGGATCTACTGGGGCATGAAGAACAAGTCTGGGGGGGCATGACTCCAGCCAGTCTTCAAGAGCTCTCTCAGTGGTGGGGCCTAATTCAGTAAAGAGGGATAAGAGGGACAGCAGGCTGCTTAGGGCTCAACAGCACATGGGACTTCAGGGCCAGCAAGTCCCTCCCATGAAACAGGCCCAACGGGCTGGGCACCTGGAACCCTGCGTTTTATCCATGTATGTACTTTTATCCAGCATGCACCATGGCCTAATCCCTTGGAGCTGCAAATGGGTTCTCTTTTCCTCTCTTAGTTCATATGCCAAGATTAAAACTCTAGTTCTAAAACAATGAAAGGAGAAATTAATTAAGCTGGTGGGCTCATACCTCACCTACTCACTCCTCAGTACCTTCCTCTCTGCCTTCCAGATTCTCAAGAGCCCAACTCCAGTACCTCCTCAAACCATAACCCAGTCATTCCATATAGCTCACTACCTGGTTCTATTTTCTTCATTGCACTCAGTTCGCTGTCTTTATCTGCTAGAACGTCCAGCTGTCCAGATCACCACTCTGTTCCGAGCACCTGCAACAGCAGCTAACACTTAAGTGTCACTGAGTCAGTTCCAACTCATCATGACCCTATATAGAGTTTCAGAGGAGCTGGTGGGTTTGAACTGCGATCCTTGCAGTTAGCAGTTCATTGCTACAGCAGTTATCCTATCATCAACCAGGACTCCACACATACTAAGTGCTTGAAAAAGACTCACTGAACAGAGACATGAATGAGCAACTTCCCCACTGCCCCTTACTTACTCCTGACAAGACACACTTCCTACCAGGAGGCCGCATTATGGTCAAGGACATGAGCTCTTAGGGATGCTTGAGTTCAAATCCTGACTCAACCCTAGATGATGTACCTAACCTCTCTGTGCTTCCTCTGTTGACAGGAGTATAAACCAAGGTAGTGGAGATTCAATGGGAGAACATGTGTAAAGCAAGACTTAGGTCTTCTCAACTAAAGTCTTTCACCCTTCAGCACACTTTTATCACCTTGTCTGCTCTGTGAGCCCTTAAAGGATAAGCTTCAACATGGCTGTCTTAAAATCCCAGCCACTACCAGCTGTGTGACCTTGAGCAAGTCATTGTAACCTCTCTGGGCCTCCTTGTAAAATGGCAATTCAATTACTGTGTGGTCTAAACAAGCCACTCCATGTAAAACCCTTGGCACCTGGTACTCAGGTGACTTGTTAGGATTTTTACTGCTAATTAGTATGGATGGAGGAGGTATAAGCAGCAGCTCATTTGCTTTATTCTTCAAGCACTCGACAGTCTGTGTGGTACTTATATGGGCAGTGGCTCTTGATGGAATATGAGGAAAGTAGTTTGATTTGGTTGAACAGTGCCTGGTAAGCATTACCCAAAACAAAAGGAAACCAAGCCACTGCCATCCTGTCCATTTTGACTCAGTGTAGAACTGTTCCTTAGGGTTCCCAAGACTATGAATCTTTATAGGGATGGGCATCCCCATCTTTCTCCCCCAGAGCAACAGGTGAGTTTGAACCACTGACCTTGTGGTTAGAAGCCCAGTGCTTAACTTAAGCACAGCACCCCAGGACTCCTTGGTACTTGTTAATAAACAAAAACAAAACCAAACCCAATGCTGTGGAGTAGATTCTAACTCACAGCACCCCTATATAGGGTTTCAGAGGCTGTACATCTTTAAGGGAACAGAAAGCCTCATCTTTCTTCTGTGGAGTATTTGGTAAGTTTGAACTGCCAACCTTATGGTTCACAATCCAGTACTCATCCTACACACCACCAAGGCTTTGGTATTTGTTGTTTGTTATTAAGTATCCTGGAGTCTGTTACAACTCACAACAACCCTGTTTAGGGTTTTCAAGGAGCAACTGGGGGATGTGAATCACCAACCCTGGAGGTTAGCAGTCCAGTGTCACACTAGGACTCCTCTGGTATGTGTTGTTAGGTACCATCGAGTTGGTTCCAACTCATAGTGACCCTTTATAGGGTTTCCGAGGAGCAGCTGGTCAGTTGGAACCTCCGACCTTGAGGTTCAAACTGACCTTGCAGTCCAGCGCATTAACCAGCAGCGCCAAACCGTGGCTCCTTGGTACGTGCTAGGTAGTCAAAACAATCGTTAGTAAAGGAGTGGAAACGTGCATCCGTCCCATCAGACATTGGCACTCAAGAACCAATACCAGTTGGCCAGACACGAACTAGCCCACCACCCCACGGGAGCAAACTCTAGCCCCGCCCTATTCCCAGCCCTCCCCAACGTACTTCCTGTAATGGTGATCCTCCTGCCCTGGTAGTAGTCACCCAGGGTCACAGCATCGCCCTGCTTGGTAGCCACAACCCTGACGGTGCGCACACTGTCGTCACACGACACGTAGGGATTGTAGCCAGAATTAGCAGTTGCCACCTGGGCATTGAGCTGATTGTCGACGCTGGCTGGGGAGAAGGCGTCCGCGATGCGGTCCCGGCAGAAAGATTTGTACTTCCAGATCACAATGGGCACGGTGGGGGTGGCAGTCACCTGGTAGGTGCAGGGTAGGGTCACAGGCTGGAAGAGGATCACAACGTGGAAGGGGTCTGATACGGTCACCTGGATGGCACTGGCGGGAGCTGAGGACAAGAGGGGAGCTGGTTAGTGAGGACCGTGTGGGCTGCCTCAGAAGAGCTCAAGGAAATGCTTCTGCAGGAAAGAGCAACCTCACTTGTCACTGGCTTGACACTGAAACGTGTGCGGCTTTACAGAGCTCCTGACACACATTGGTTCTTAATCCCTAGGATCAGTGAAGTCCTTATGACAATCACGCCCAATTTATAGACCCACAGGGCTGAAGCGGCAGGTACAATGCCACACACCAGATTCCTTGGAGTGATACCTCGCAACATCTGTCCATCTCTCTCCTCTTAACCACCTGGCCCCCTCTTCCCTGTCCCAGTCTCTCTCTGGCCTGTATACAACCACAAATGGATACTGTGATATTCAGTGTCCATGGCCCCCCTTCAAAAGGAAGTGCCAAGGGTCCCAAGATACCCTGAGTTTTGTGAACTTGGGGGGCAATGTTGTAGAACTGTCTGACCGACAGTGCTGTGCCATGGTGTGGCTGAAGTCCCCACAAAATCTCCACCAATCGTTTTTCCCTACTCAAAGCCATTTCAAATGAATGTGCCAAAGGCGCTGGTCAAGAGATCAAGCCCCTCTCCCCGCCCCCACCCAAATAAACCTCACATCCAGGTACAAGTTACTAGTAGAAGGTGGTTTCAAACTCCCTATTCTCATTCCCGCCAGGAGGTGAGTGGGGTGTGGGGCAGGGAATCCCCAACCCCGCACCCACCTGAGTCCTGGGAGCCATCTCATTCCAGGAAACATCTAATTCTGGCCTCGAGTACCCATCTCCCGTTACTCAACGATTTAGAAATTCTGGGGTACGCCTAACTTCCCATTCCAGCCTTTTTCAGTAGTCGGGCGCTCCCCCTACTCTACAAAGGATCCCATTCTCCCTACGGCTCCCGGGCTCACAGACTCCGGAGTTTCACTTCCTGTATCTCGGGACAAGGGCGGGAGCGCTCCTCTGCAAAGATGAGGAATTCTTCCCACCCCGACACACATCGGGTCTCCAGGAGACACAGCCGGGAGGT